GTGTCAGTATATTGCAGGTGCGTAGGTTTGGTCCCAACAATGGTAGGGAACGCCGTTCCCACCAACATGAAGGTTGTGTGTACATGTAGCACTTTTCTCTGACAGAAAAAGGCTATATGAACACAGGCCCTAAGGCTACTGTTTCATAATCAAAGAATACACTGATTAATCAGAGCACTCACATAAGAACACTAGAAAATGGACTCACAGCACAGTCCATTATTCTGAAACAGCTAAGCAATACTCACTCATGATCTAATATGACTTCACTCCAAAGATGAGCAAACCTACACCCTTGGTATATTGTTATTTCCATACATATAATACAACATCGTTATGTCACACAAGAATACATATTGATTTTTAAGACTCCAGTCTTGTATTTCCACACTGCACACACAGAGAAGATGTGCCCATTGTCCTAACAGTGCAGACAAAGGCTAACAATCAGTGAACTCTCCTCATCAACTGCTGACTTTTAATGGCTTTATTTTGCAATCACCAGGTTGAATGAAGGCGATCAAATCCGAATTTAAGCTGTTGGTCACTCTTGCTGTGCACTGGTAAGGTCAGCAGCAAAACAAAGATACTACTGCCTAAAGGTCAGGTGTGCAAAATTTGTAGCTTGCCAGTTAGCTATTAGATTACACATCTGTTTTCCTACTGCTCTAGGAGTGTGATTGCAGTAGCAGATTTAAATACAGTAAGTATTTAATTTGTGTACAGTAGATTTTACATAGTAAACATTTACGCTGAGGGTACAAATTTCATTTTGCACAATTCACTTCTCATTCATTTCAAAGTCTGAAGCGAGACCATGTAACTTTGGCAAACAGTCTCCTCTGTGGCCACAAGTGACATTTACATGACGTTAAATGCTAAGAAAGAAGAGTCATCATGTCAGCAAATGAACTCAACATTAGCTACCATAAGCTGATGGCAATGTATCAGAGAAACAGGTTGTGTCTGTAAAAGCAACACACTGCTTTGACTGACTTATGAATTGATCTAGTAATTTGCAAACGAAAAAGTGTGTTATTAAGTTAAATAGTCTCGCTTAAGGTGCCTTTAACCTGCCCTTTGCTCCTCCATCTTCACATCTCTTTCATTAGCATAATGGATTTTAACATGGAATTGTGAAATTTGTGCACCCAGTGTATCTTACATATTATAAGCCTGCTCCTACAGTTGACATTATCATTCATTATATTTTTAATGTATGTATTAAATGTATGCGACATGACATTCCGAATGTCATGCAAGCTTTTTTTATTCAATTTATTTGATTTTATTGTTGCAAGCAGTTTTATAACCATAGCATTATACTTCATTTTATTCATTTCTGAACCTGAATGATTCTATGTAGTGTTGAGATTGTCCAGCATATTTTAGCTTTTATATTGTGATTAAAATTTTCAGTCCTGCAATGGGAGCAGCACAGGCCTTTAGGTATATGTTTCAGGATTCAGTTGTACCAACTCTATGGAAGTTCAAATTTTGCGTAGTTATAGTTATAGTTAAGCTAATTAAGTGTTTACAAAATCGATATAGCACTGAATTAAAATGGGTTGCACCACACAAACCACACATAAGAAACTCAAGGTATTTCATAGAGATCACTTGATACTAAATACTGTATTTGCATCCAGTCACTGCCAGGTTAGGGTGTTTGCTATATGAGTCATTTAGATTCAAAAGTAAAAGAAACATATCAGACCTGAAATGCTACTTAACAATGATGTAAACTGGGAAGAGTTTAATTATATTTCACAAAAATATACAATATGCATCGAGTTACAAACCATGTAAAAGAAATGACAAACTAAATTAATAAATAAAGTTAGGTTAGCATATTTGGGTATTTCCCACTCATTCTAAACTGCACTGAATGCTCGGACACACATATTTCTCTAAGTTTAATATATCGCCAGGCACCAGTTTTGCAGTTATACTACAATTACAGTGACTTCCTGTCAAAATAGCTGGTTGCTTTTAATTGGACGGCACTACACATGTTTCCTAGCAACAGATTTTCATATTACTGGAGTCTTTACTAGCCGATGCCTTGTTTACGTTCTATCAGGGTTATCGGAATTACAGACTTGTTTCCGACTTGTAAACAGCGCCCATGTCAACATCCAAGTCCTAATTACAATTAGGAAACTCTTTTTGCAAAAGCTCTGATAAATCCAACTTGAGGCTTAATAATACATGAAGTGCCTGAAAAACAAACAAACATAGATGCTCGTGTCAGCTACAGTCCATCGTTCAATGTGATTAAACTCTTATTTAATGAATATTGTGTTATATTATGAACGCGTAGCATTTCTGTAATCATACAACCGTCTTGAATTGTCCAGTGACGTGAACGCTTGCAAGTTGTTAACATGGGAATCTTTCATGTGTCTACAATCCAAATGATGTGAACATTTAAGACAATTTGATTCTTCGATTCTTCTTGTACTGAATTTACAAGTATTTGGTGCAACCCTTACTTAGTCATCCCGGGTGGAAATCGCAGAGAAGATGGCTCTAGTGAAAACCCGTAGGGCTAAAGCAAACACTATTTTTGTACAGTGTGTCCAACAATTGAGGGTTGCCATGGTATTATGCCAATAAAGTTGCAATGTTGTGCCGCCATGTCTCTACAGTAGCCCAAATGGACAAACAGCTGTACGGAGAGCATTTCGTCGCTATGTTGAATACGTATGAAGAAGGGGGAAGCAGGAAGAAGAAATAACAGCACTAAAAGTAGTAGTAGTAGTCGTCTGGTTTATTAGAAGTAAGAAGAGAAGTGAAATTTGAACAAATGGAAGACCACACCTTTTATTTAGCACACGAGCCAACAGAGCGGTGACTTGAGCGGTTGGTCGCAATTTGCTGGGGTTGTGTGAGAACACCAGAGTTTGTTGAGGGCTGCAATAACCCAACACGACCACAGTAAAATTGAAACTCTTGTCTTCCTACTTCTGCTTTTTCTAGTGATCGCAGCTTCTATGAGTAGAGGGGCTAGAGGAAGGAAGCGTGCATCTTGCCATCAACATGCCACCCATGGGACGAAATGAGGAAGAGGAGGAGGAGGATAAGAAGAAGAAGGAAAGATCCGTCTGTCTGTCAATCTAAATACACACCTGGTCAAAGAGAGGAGCACACAAGTCCTCTTTATCTCAGCATGTTTACGTAGGCAATATCACTGTATCACCGTCCTCCCACTCTTCACCATCATCATCAACTGCACTGACATGTCACACCAAACTACTGGAAGTCCTACTGTTAAAAATCTGTTATCTGTAAAGAAACTGCAATAGATGATTGTAAAAAGTGCTGTTTTGTGCATCGTGCGTAAAAAGAAAAAAGCCATGTATGTTTTTAGCCAGAGCATTTGTTGTATTTGTTGCATATCTCTTGTCCTGCTAAAGATAGTTGTTGTTAGCGCGTATGTATCCTCACAAACACAAGCAGTAGTAACAGAATCCACCTAAAACTGACACAAACCCGAAGCCCTTTGAATATTTAAGATGTGAATCTATGAGAGGCTTTTAGTGACTTTGTTGTAGCTGTAAAAAAGAAGCTGTTCCATGTGTAAATGTAAACCCTTTAAATATACAGTATGTAACTTGTTCATGTTCTGTAAATAGTATATATAGACAAATTGCAGTATATCATGAAAACAATTTAAATGATCAATCAGAAGTCTTTCTATCGGTATATTTCTTCTTCCCTACTGCTGAGATATTGACGATACCAGGTTACTGTAATAGTGAAAGTTAATGTTGGATAGTTGGCCTGTCTGTCTGTGTTGCGTACAGTACAGTTCAGTCTAGCTAGTGTAGCTATGGCACCATCAGTGTTAAAGATTAAAAATTATTCTGCACTTCTAACATCAACTCAAATGACCTTTAGTACTTATCTCGGCGGTTATTAGTGGGAACTCCAGTTTGTGGCCGCTCGTGTGCATGTGTGGGGAACTAAGTGCTGCACGTGTCCAGTGTGTAAGAGCGTGTGTGAGTGTGTGTGTGTGTGTGTGTGTAGTGGCAGAACGTACTTTTGAATGTGCGCATGTGTGTGTTTAAGTGTGCGCGTGTGCATCTGAACCCAGGTTAAGACAGTCATGTGGTTCATTTGTGGGGGGTTTCTCATGTCGCTTGTTCAGTGCTTATTGTCCAAAGCTATTCTTTTGTTCTGACCATTGAAGATGTGTATGTTGTGTGTGTGTGTGTAAATATATATCAACATGCAGATGTATTATTGCAATAAAAAGCACAGATGCTCATGAAAAAGATTCTTCAGACTGCTTGTCTGCTCTTATTTGTTAACTGATGGATCAATGGATATATGAAAGCTTGTTGTCTATGTATAGAAGAAAATCTTATGGATTTTCAGTGGTGAAAAGTAACTTTACTCAAGTATTGTACTTGTACTTTTGAGCTTTTCCATTTTATGCTACTTTATACTTCTACTCCACAGCTATAGTTAATGGTGACTTTGCATATTCACGTTTTATATACAAAACATATGATCAGGTTATAAATAATAGAATACTGGTGTAGATTAAACTACCCAACAGTATAACTTACACAGTAAACAGTTTGTAATAAGATAATATTATTATATATAAGAATGTATAACTGAGTGGGATATTCTGCTGCATTATGGGTACTTTTACTTTTTGATACTCACAGCAGGCTCAACCACTCAATCAAGTTCTCTTTGCAACAATGCAACACTTATGGATGTCAACTGCCATAAAGCTCAACAAAAGAAGATCAAGCTGGTAAGGAAAGAGTACTGTGCATGGATGTGAATCAAAACCTGGATACCGGACTCAAAGATGGTGCCTATTCAGTCCATTGAGAATTGCTTGCCTGGCACATCCAAGTGTAAGTGTATCTACTGTATGTCTATTGGTGCACAGCACTGTAGGACACTCCTACTACATGACACACTCTCGGTTGAAGCTTGTTTAGGTTTAGGCATCGAAATGTTTTTATTTGGTTTCGGCAAAGATCATGTTTGTGGTAAAAATACACGTTAATCCAGGAAGTTATGTCCGGTGGCCTGTTGTAGTGAAGTAGGCATGTTGTGTAGCCTTTCAGACTATATTCTTCTAGGCGAGCTTACTTCTGGGTTATCACATTAAAGCAAATACAAACAATACAAGCAGAATAGTCAATTAATCAAACTGGAATTGAAGAGAAATCTGAAAGAAAAACTGCATTTTATCCCAAAACTTTGAAGTGGCTTTTTTGTTTTGTCTCATATTCCCGTTAGAGTCATGGCAGGTTGTGTCCTCGTAGCCATTTCGTCTTTATATCCTTAAAAACAGTGAAATGCTGATGTTAAATTTAGTTACCTCACATGAACCGCAGCTGGTCCAGGAGAGGGTGAGTAATGGAACTGAGGTTGGACAGCAGGAGGCGCTCAAATCACTTCATCCCCACGGAGGTCAGGGCAAAGCATTGGTGAGTGTGGCCCTGTCAGGGGGTTCTGCCTCTTTAGTAGCTAACTCACAAGGTATTTTTTTTACATTTAGCACAGTGGAGGAAGGTGTATTGAAATCCTCTATTTAAGTAAAAGCAGCAATACCACAATGTAAAAATACTCCATTACAAAAAGTTAAAAATATGCTGTGTTGAGTTAACTTGAGTACTTTACATGGGTTTGGAAGATTCAATAACAATGCACCATATTTTTTAAAGACAATTAGGCTATTTGTTTTGTACCTGCAATGAACTGGTTTTTACAGCTGTTGGGTAAAATGTGGTGTAGAGGACAGAGAACAGCTTCTCTCTGAAATGTAGAAGCAGAGGTAAAGTCAGGTAAAGTGTACCACAAAGTTGAACTGTACAAGCTTTTCCTGTAAATAATGTGAATGCTTTTCCCGCCACTTGCTGCCACTTACTGAAAGCTGAGTGTCGCTGCTGAAGACAGGTGACATCCCGCTGTGATTCTCCAGGCTGTCCGGATTATGCAACCCCAGTGGCAGTACTCCTGTTGGGCCGGCAGAGGGCGTTGTGCAGCCTGGAGAGGACCCTCTTCTCCTGACCCACATTCACCCTTACTGTACGGGCGGGGGGGGGGAGGAGGACCGAGCACATAGAAAGCAAATAAACGGTGTTGAGTTACCCTACAGACCGTGGCCATGGCTTTGGCTGTGCCTGGCAGACACGGCGCTCCCGTTTCTCAGACCTGGTAGCGGTTTAAAAGGAGGGGGGGGGGGCTGCTGCCGGCTAACAGTTAACCCGCTGGACTTGCGGGTATTTCTACGTATTTGTGCTTCTTTTTCTTCACGTGTTGTTAAGCCGACCGGTCCTTGTTCACAAGGCTTTTATGTTGACAACACAGGAGGTGACTTTGTATCATAAACCGAGCACTGGTGAGTATTTTTCTACACTATAGCGACAGCAGTGTGTGCTTGTTTATGGGGCGGCGAGTGCTGTCCTCACGTCAACCCCGGTCGCTAAAAACACCCGGCCTGCTTACTGTAGTGTACCAAAAGGTTAATGCAAAGGCGCCTGGCCGGGGTACTACATGTACATGTGTGTGCGATGAAGAAAGTGACCTGCATGACTGCCATGTGCTTCCTTTACTGGGACCAGGGTCGGGTAAGGCTCCGAAGTTCCCGGTTAAGGTTATTTATGGTCATTGCAGTAAGAAACTTAAACTCTGTCCTGAATGGCTGCAGAGTCTGGATGTGTGAGAGGTGACACCCGCGAGGAAACGCGAAGGTAGCGAGAGAGAGAGAGAGAGAGAGCTTTGAGGTAACGTTAAGATGTAGGCAGTATTTGGGGTACGTGGCCCTCCCAATGTGCGATTTACTGCGCAGCCACTGTTCACATTCCTTTGCTGTGACATATCCAAGTAGGTCGGTGCAAAAGTGTGCCCAAGTATGCTTCATGCACGTGTTATAGGACAGCATGAAGTATGAAGTGTGGCTCTCAATCTGTCTGCTCCTGCAGGCTGAGGCATGGTGTGTGTGTATATGATATCATGGTTTGAGTTACATAACACCTGTCTCTGGATTGTGCATTTGTGATTAGGTTAAACGCATGGTTAAGAGAAGGAATGTGTTGTTGATTATGTTTAAAATTTTAATTCCAGGATGAGGGCAGCATCATCTGTTTCATTTGTGGAGCAATCAGACGGGATTCTGTGACTCACCTTGGGCCACTTAGGGTAAGTGACCAGCTCAAACATCAGAGCAGTGTGCGCGGGGTCTGGCGTGAGACATGTAAGGTCATTTGCTGAACTTGGAAGGTTCAGTGTTCACATGAAATGTCTACGCAACACGATAACGTTGAAGAGTCTTCTGCTTCAGTGAAGTCGTGCGGCGTGCCTCACGCACTCATGCATGTCACTCCACATTTTATTTGTGAGCGAATCATAGTCCTTAGCCTGAGGTGTCGTGACAATTTTAATGTGGCATGACTCATTTGTCATTTGTCTAAAATCTTCAAATCCAGTCAAGAAATCTAACGTGCACGGGATGTTTTCAAACAGAACATTTTCAGAGAGATGGACAAGAAGGAAAAAACACTCATATACTGCCTGTAAAACAGAAATAAATATATGAACCTAAATGATATTTCCCTGGAGTGTAGATGCCAGGCTGACATAAGATGATACAGGAAGCTCTCTCACTCACACTGAATCTCCCCCAGTTACAGTTTTATTAGTTTCCAGCAACCTTTCAAAGATGTATTAATCTTTAGGAGTCCTTCCCTCAGAGGTGTTTTCTTGGAAGAAAAAAAAAATTTCTGTAAGGGCATTCTTTCTTTTTTTAATTACTGTACAAGCAGTGGCACAGTGCTTAGCAAATCTATGAAGCTAAATAAAGCTAAAATGCAATTCAGAGTAGAATGACAAGGATTTTCCTCAGAACAACGTAAGGACAAAAATAATCCCTGTCTGGATCAGCAGAGACATTGCCCTCTGCCTGTGTTTTCTCATATTGCTTTGTTTGGACTTTTCCTCTGCCTCCAGCTCTCACTCCTCAGTAAACTGTAATCGAAAATCACTAAGTTTCCTGCAAGTACTCAGGTGCTGTGCTCTTGGAATCCCTGCCTATGTTCTGCCTGCCGCGATCAGGGGGAGTGCGCTTCCAGTGTTTTACTTCATCACAGAAAACTGAAAAACATATATTACTGTTACATTTTTACTCCTACAGATTGCAATGAAAATGCTCCTGGTGTGAATCACAAATCAAAGATGTAAAAGTACTGGCTGTACATACATACCCACACACAGTACATCCAGACAAAGCCATAATCTCTGCAGCCTAATGTGACCTCTTTTGATGTCCATTACCAACAACCCCCCAACTTCCCCTCCATTTTCATTGCTGCCAGCAAGGCAGCATCCTGGTTGTCTGAGGTTGAGGCTTAATGTATAGGAAGGGGGAGAGGGAAACTCCGCCAGCCCCCATCTGAGGGAAAGCAGTTACATAACGGTCTGTGGAGGCAGTCCCTGCAGGGTCCCTCTGCCTGTATGTGACACAGAGTGTAGACAGAGGGGAGGAGGGGCTTACAGTCATCCACCCAGTTAGCAGGTTTTGGAAAAAACTGATTTTGTACCTTAATTTAATTTGACATGAGTGTCTACTGTTTAAGCCAGCGGTTCTCAAACTAGGGGGCGGGCCCTCCTGGGGGTGTGTAGAGCCACTTGGTGCTGAGCAGACCTAGAGCTGTATGAATATGATTCATGTGTTGATATCAAGAAATAAAAGTTCTCTGATGCGAGCAAGGCTATTTTGCTAACCTGAATCTTGTTTATTTCAATCACCTGTATGATAAAAATAAAATCCTCTTTTGCTGGGGCGGGAAGGCATGAACTTTTGTTGGCTTCTAAAGGGGGGCGGGACAGACAGTTTGAGAACCACTGGTTTAAGCGAAGGATAGATTCACCAAAGACTGCTAAAAGTAATCTAACTGTCACGATCGTGGGGTGGAGGCAGGTTGGAGGACCCAAACGCAGGACACAGAGCGGAGCAGGTATAGTTCAACGAAGGGTTTTAATATAACCAAAAGCGAGCACACTTACAGGTGAGTGGCTGAAAAACAGAAATCCAAAATCCAAAAGTACAGGGAGACGAGACAAGACAAGCAAGGCTGGTTACAGGCAGAGCGTACACACACAACAGACTGGGGGGTAACATGAACAATGACCGGACAAGGACAAGACAGAAACACCAGGTATATATACACAGGGACTAACGAGCAGGGCGGGAGCAACACAGGTGACAGACATGAGACTAACGAGGCAGAGAGAGAGAGCAGAGGAAAACAGAGAGACTTGACATGACAAGCAGACTATATAACAGATACTGGACACTAGACAGGACAGAACGTCTCGGGTTACGTATGTAACCCTGGTTCCCCGAGAAGGGGAACGAGAGACTGCGTCGGTTACGACACTATGGGAACGCCTCTAGGCGAAGCAGGTCTGAACGTGAATGAAATCACTCCAATCCTATTGGCCTGTTGCTAGAACGGTAAGGTGTGACGGAATAACCGGAGGAGTATAAAGCACACCTGTACACACTCATCATTAGCTTAAACTATGAAGCAGGCGCTTCAGGCGGGGAGAGAGGTGCGGCGGGCCGACGCAGTCTCTCGTTCCCCTTCTCGGGGAACCAGGGTTACATACGTAACCCGAGACGTTCCCCTTCGAGGGAACTCGAACTGCGTCGGTTACGACACTATGGGAACGAGATACCCACTAAACCGTGCCGAAAACCCCGCCTGCCCCTGTGTGCAATAAAGTGGCACTACTAAGAGGAGAGCGCACGAGTGCCAGGTGCCGAAGGAAGGTCAAGACTGTAAAACCGAATGAATGTGTGCGGAGTGGCATAGCCAGCCGCTAAACAACATCCTGCAAGAGGCCCCGGAAAGGAGGGCTCGAGAGGCCGCCTTGCCTCTGGTAGAATGAGCCCTCACAGCCACAGGTGAAGGCAAACCGCGCACCTGATAGGCCAGGGAAATAGTCTGAACAATCCAGTTGCTAATAGTATGTTTGGATGCAGGGAGCCCGGCCCTGGGAGACCCAAAACACACTAGCAGCTGGTCAGCCTTCCTCCAACGGGAGGACCTCAGAGTGTAAATACTCAGTGCTCTGACAGGGCAGGGCAGATGAAGTCTCCCGTCCTCCGCCGTCACATGAGGTGGAGGATGAAATGCCTGCAGCACTGTGGACCCTGCCGCACAAGAAGGCACTTTAGGGATGTATCCTGGACGAGGGTACGGGGAAACCGAAAGCGCTTGGAGATCCCCCACCCTCCTCAGAGAGGTGATAGCAAGGAGAAAGGCCATCTTGAGGGTCAAGTGCTTAGCCTCAGCTGACTCTAGGGGTTCGAAGGGGGCCTCAGCCAACGCCCCAAGAACCACCGCCAGATCCCAAGGGGGAACCTTGGACCGAGTCGCAGGTCTCATCCTCCGGGCACCACGGAGGAAAAGTACAACCAAGGGAAGTTTCCCCAAGGACCCCTCCCTCAGAGGGGTGTGGAAAGATGAAATAGCTGCCACGTACACCTTGAGGGTGGAAGGGGAAAGACCAGCAGAGAACCGGTCCTGGAGGAACTCAAGTACCTGAACCACCGGGCAGGTAACAGGGTCCACCGACCGCTCCCTACACCAAGTGGAGAAAACACTCCACTTCAGGCCGTACATCCTCCGTGTGGACGGGGCCCTGGAGCTCAGGAGGGTCTCGACTGCTCCGGCTGTTAGACCCGCCTCTAGGTACTGTGCCCCCTCAGGGGCCAGACCCACAGTCGCCATATGGCGGGGCAAGGGTGAAGAACCCGGCCCTGCGCCTGGGACAGCAGGTCTCTCCTCAGAGGGACCCGCCACGGCGGGCCGTCCAGGAGCGACATGATGTCCGAGAACCACACCCGGGTTGGCCAGAACGGGGCTACGAGCAGTAGGCCGACATAGTCCTGGCGGACCCGCTCCAGAACCCCGGGAGCAGAGCGACTGAGGGAAAAGCGTACAGACGTAGCCTCGGCCACGAATGTACCATGGCGTCCAGACCCAACGGGGCTGGAGGAACGAGAGAAACCATAGCGGGCAGTGCGTAGTCTCTTGAGACGCAAACAGATCCACGTCTATGGGGCCGAACTCTTCGCACAAGAGCTCCACCACTTCGGGGTGAAGTCTCCATTCCCCGGGCCTCAGCCCCTGCCTCAACAGCAGGTCTGCTCCCTGATTCTGTGTCCCCAGGAAATACATCGCCCTGAGCGATAGTAACCTCTGCTGGGACCACAGGAGGATCTGACGCGCCAGTCTGTCCAGAGGGCGCGAGCGCAGACCGCCCTGGTGATTCAGATAGGCCACCACCGCTGTGTTGTTCTACTCGGAACGAACCAGGACGTGGTGGCCTTGGAGATCGGGCAGGAAACTCCTTAGAGCCTGGAACACCGCCAACATCTCGAGACAGTTGATATGCCACTCGGATCGATGCACCTGCCAGGATCCCCTTGCAAAGCGGCCATCCATGACCGCGCCCCAGCCCGTGAGGGAGGCGTCTGTCGAAATAACCAGCCGGCGACAAGACCCTCCCAGCACGGGCCCCTGGGACAGGAACCAAGTTTCCTTCCAAACTGATAGGGAACGAAGACACTTGCGCGTAACCCAAACCAGACGGAGAGGATTCCCCTCGGGGAAAAACCCTTGTTCCTTAGCCACCACTGCAGGGGTCTCATGTGCAGCCGGGGAGTCCTGAACGTGTAAACGGCGGGATAACATCACCTGTTGCCACGGCGGAGGGGACCTCGGTCGGCCTCCGGGGAGGGTGGGGGGGGTGCGGGAGGGGAGAAAGACTCCCCTACCCCGGTCTTCCCTGAGCTCCGTCGGGACTGGATGACGGTCCTCAGATCGCGTCTCTCAGACGGCTGAGGGTGAGAGCGCCGTCTCGCTGCCCCAGCTCCTCGGGGGGCCCCCGAGAAGCGACACTCTGCTTCCCTCCTCTCCGTAGGAGCTCGTAGAGGGAAGGGACCTACGCCTGGCAGCCTCAGCTGCCTTGGGTCCAGACCGGCGAGGGAGGTACTGGCGGAACGCTTCGCACTGCGTCTAACGCTTCGTGGTTCTGCGAAGCTCCGCCAGATCTTCCTCGGAGGGACCCCCCCTCTGAACCATCTCCTGTAGCAGGTTGGCTTGGTAGGCTTGAAGCACCGTGGTGTGCAA